AACAGATGTATTTTATGGCCGTGAAAAAATCAAGAAAACGTTCCCGTTTCGTGATTTAAAGACAGTACATTTACAGCAAGGGCCACAACCAGGAGTAGTTGTGTGTTTTTTTGATGCTGGGTGTTTCGCTAGATTAAGATAAGAGTATGTGGAAAGTTAGTACTCAGGCTCTTCCCTCTCGTCAACTTGTTTTATCTGTTCGCATTCGTGAAGCTTGTTGTCAGGTTGATAAATTTTTTTTCCGTTATTTTCAACACAGCAAACCTCGATGGAGAAGGTCTGACAGTCTTTGTGATACGACATTTGGTAAAAGGCTAAAATGAAGCAAGTTATACATTCTCCTAAGCAGTTGAGCAAGTGTAAACTATATCTGCCATCATTCAGCTTCCAGTGAGCTATATCGTTACTTCCATGGAACTTTGTGTAGGAAAACTTTGTGTCGGAAAACTTTGTGTAGAATGGGAATCCTACTCCTGTTAAGGTTATAGCACAGAACACAGCGAACAGCAAGAAGAACATACATTTTGTGTTAAGACCAACTTTGACCCCATAGAAAGTGATAAGGGTTTGGAACAAGTAGTAGATCGCTCCAGTGACAAAAAACAACGGGGTTCCTGCATCATCAACCTTGCCTATTGGTATGATGCGCTATCAAAGAAAGTAAAGGATCATTGAGATTGTTTTTAATTATAATTATAGTAATAATGATAATAATAATAATAATGATAATTATAATAATAACTTTATTTAATGAGGGTAGCACCTTACAGTAGAACACTGACAAACCTGTTGTCCTCTCGATCTGTGCGTTTTATTTTTTAAGATTGACCTCTTAAGCTTCAGTATGTTGTTTTCCCAATGTAGGTCTGTGATAATAATCTAGAGAACTGTTTCATTCCACCTGTGGGTATGATTTATGAAAACACATTTGGTCAAATTCGCATTAGACCTTCATTGGCAAACCCAAAGATACAAGCTAAAGAGGTCTATTGACTCGATCGCGGTCTCTATCGCCCTAAAAATAGAAGCGAACTTGACGATGCAGATAATTATATGCCGGTTTGTGCACTATATTAGTTTCTCTAGGCCATTTCCGAGTTGCTCCAAGCCTCTGTTTCAAAGCGAGGCTAATTGCAAAGCCATTGATACAAATTTTATTCTCATGCAAATACTGAGTCAAATCCCGCGTTACGAACATCTCATTATTACGAACAGTTTTCTTTGTCCCTGGGGAAAGAAAGCCCTTTCATTTTCTCTAAATTCAACCCGCTTTAAACGTGGATACCCCGTTAATACAGACACTTTCTGTGGCACCATCAGTGTCCATATTAGTGTCCGTTTGACTCTAACATCTAAAACAAGCCTATTGGTAAGTAGGTTCTTATTTTCTATGAAGGAGATAATTGATATAAACCTGCTTGATCTTGCTTGGCAAAACAGCATCTTGTATTTTTGGGTATTAAAGAGAAAAATTCCAACCAGGAGGCTCTTAATCCACAAGGTTCTTGTTTCCTGTACTGTTTTTGAAAATACTTCCTTGATTGACTCTGAGGAGAGCTTAATTTTCCGAAGGATTACCCAAAATCAATCCAACAGCTAGAAGTTTTTTTTAGCAGTTGAGGTAGAGTTATATAATTACCCACTGGTTGTTTAAGTAAATTGGACCTCTGCATGGATGCTACTTCGGGAGACACTATAAGAACACTTAAGTTTGCCAATGTTGTGCATAAACGTGTTGATGGCTTAAACTTAATTAAAATCAAATCTTAAGTGGATACTTACTGCACGAGATCGAAAGTTCAACACTACTAGTAGACCCACGATACATGAACAACCAAACGGCACGGAAACCTTGTTTAGCCGCTGCACCTTCGTAAATAACCGAAGGTCTAGCTTGAAACTGCCTTCATTTTCAAGAAAATCGTTAGCAATCCAGGTAAGGCTACAAATGACATAAGAAAACCAAATATGGATCCTTCGGGCTCAGACGCTGTCGTTTTACTGATTGAAGGCAGGAATGGGTAGACATGATCCAAAGAAACTGCTAGAGCGGTTTTCACTTGACTGTCGTAAAACCAAAACCAAAGTAAATACACTAGCCAACCAAAGGGCGTAGTAAAACCAAAACCAAAACCAAAACCAATTCCTTTCGACAGTCAAGTGAAAACCGCTCTATGATATATGGAGTGATTGGCCGTATTTATACTAGAAGACGTCTTAGACGTTCAGACGCATTAAACGTCTGACTGTTAAGTGCGTCGTAAAGTGCGTCCCGTTTTTATACTAGACGTCTTAAACGTCTGAGACGACTACTGTTCAGCTGTTAAGTGCGTCGATCGGACGCATTTAACTTCAGTGAGACGTTTTATTCGTCTGACGTTTAATGCGTCTGTCTTGTTTCCCGTATTTATACTAGACGTCTAAGTCATCTAAGACGTCTTAGACGTCCTCTAGTATAAATATGGCTATTATTGTAATACAGATCAGTACAGGATAAAAGATTGGCAAAAGATGAATCACGCGCGCAAACGTCGTCATTTTTGTGGTACTGAATCTCGGCCAAGTCAGGATCAAGGCTCCAGTACATTGGCTATCTTGAGGGACAGTTCCAAGCTAACTCCTCTTATCCACAAAAAATTTTACACTCCTGGAAAGAATACCTCTTCATAAAATATCACACCCCTTATGAGCCAATCACAACAGGCACTTATCACCNTAGAGCGGTTTTCACTTGACTGTCGTAAAACCAAAACCAAAGTAAATACACTAGCCAACCAAAGGGCGTAGTAAAACCAAAACCAAAACCAAAACCAATTCCTTTCGACAGTCAAGTGAAAACCGCTCTATGATATATGGAGTGATTGGCCGTATTTATACTAGAAGACGTCTTAGACGTTCAGACGCATTAAACGTCTGACTGTTAAGTGCGTCGTAAAGTGCGTCCCGTTTTTATACTAGACGTCTTAAACGTCTGAGACGACTACTGTTCAGCTGTTAAGTGCGTCGATCGGACGCATTTAACTTCAGTGAGACGTTTTATTCGTCTGACGTTTAATGCGTCTGTCTTGTTTCCCGTATTTATACTAGACGTCTAAGTCATCTAAGACGTCTTAGACGTCCTCTAGTATAAATATGGCTATTATTGTAATACAGATCAGTACAGGATAAAAGATTGGCAAAAGATGAATCACGCGCGCAAACGTCGTCATTTTTGTGGTACTGAATCTCGGCCAAGTCAGGATCAAGGCTCCAGTACATTGGCTATCTTGAGGGACAGTTCCAAGCTAACTCCTCTTATCCACAAAAAATTTTACACTCCTGGAAAGAATACCTCTTCATAAAATATCACACCCCTTATGAGCCAATCACAACAGGCACTTATCACCAAACAGCTGATTTAAACTGACCTCATTCAAATTACTCAGGAAATTTTTTTCATCCCTAGTGACCCATATTATAGTGCGTAAAATCAACAGGTTAACTCTTAAACACGAAAAAGTTGATTCTGTAATGAGCAATTACAGTTAAAATTACTCGAGACGGTGACAGATGCAATCCACAGTGACTCTTTACTGATGTTTTTCATTATTAATTAAAAGTGGTTGTTTAATCATAATTTAAGAAAGCTACTCTAAATTTTGAATTGAATTAAATCTTACTCTAACAATAATGAGTTAAACGAACAATGAGTAAAGTAAATGATTAGATTTTCGCTACGGATTAAAAACAAACTATACTTAACCTGAAACGTGCAGCCTAAAGTTTCAACTTTTTTAAAATTTTTGATAGAAGTAAACGTTTAACTGTTTTTTTTTGTTGCACTGATGCATTTCAATAATTTGAATATTCCTGCCCAACATTTGTTATTTTAGCTGCTTTTGTTTAATAACTTTTTTCAATCAACACGTTGATTATTTAGCAATCCTATTGGAATGAAATGCTCCGGGGACGTTAATGAAGCTGTTCAAAGCTGTTCAGAATTACTCATTGACATGCAGTTTGAACATTTTTTTTAAAACGGCAAGCCATTACAATTATTTTATTCTTGCCTATTTAATGCCCCTCTTCAGTTAACGGAAAGCAACGAGGGATGCACCAGGGCGAGTTCTTTCACCATACTGTGCCGGCAGTCATGATATCTTTTACTAGAGCAGTTCACCTCTTACCGATCTTTTTTGCTATGTTGATCGTCGTCACAATTCTTACCCCATATATCATAGCGGTATCGTTGGATCATGTCTACCCGTTTTTGCCGTGCATAAGTAAAACGGCAGGATTTGAGCCAGAGGGATCAATTTTTGGTTTTCTGATGTTTTTAGTGGCGTTGATCGGACTGTTGACGATCTTTGCTCGATATCTTCAACTCAAGGGATTCAGTCAACAAGCCGGTTTTGAGGCGAATGTTTTACACAAGGTGAAATGGTTCAACACAATTTCCCTGCTATCTGGTGTTTCATGTATCCTTGGCGTTGTTTTGGTGGCAAATTTTCGTTCTTCTGTACCACAAGTGAGTTCCACGGCTTTCAGATAATCTAATGTCTTGCTGGTGTATGTACTGTCCCTTATTCGGGTCTTGAACTCGTTAATTTGCAGCATACTGAAGAATAATTGACATAGCAGAAAAATTTCACGTAATATATCAAACATGAGATGCAGTGTTTCATCTGGTGATGAAACACTGTGTCGAATGTTTGATATTTCTTCTCAAACAAAATCATTTTTGAAGGAGAAATTAAGGATGCAAATACTAAGCAGTGTTTCATCCGATTTTCAAACACTCATTAAACATTAATTTCCTTTGTATTTTCTTAATGAATTATTAATGAGTTTGAGAAGGACATATACCAATATATGGATAGTTTCACTCTTGTTGTCCGAGCGGTGATAGGATATTTAATATACAGTAAAAACCCACGTATTAGAACCTAGATTTTTCCAACTTAGCCAAAATAGTTTGTTATAGAAATGGTATTTAGTGGGATTTTAGGCTGGTTAGGTTCTTAAATAGGTTCTTAATTTGAAAGGGGCACCATCGATCAGCACAGATAACTTCTACAGGGCATATGTGATATGGAATATGTTGCTGTATCAAATAATTATCTAGCATACAGTTTAGATGATAACCATGCAGTAATTTTATCTTTCCAAAGTACTAGCACGAAAGTCTTTCACGCTGCAGTGTCCATAAAATGCTGTGTTACATTTTGAATCTTACTGACTGAAACCAAGACTTAATTTTCTTTTTTCCGGGTGTATTTTCATCTCTGCCTTCATTTTTGTGAAATGAGAACCTACTGAAAATCTTAGGCTAAAAAGTTTTTTATGAAAAGGGGGGTTTAAAATAAAAATTTTTGCCTAACGGGTTCTTAAATTTTAGGTTCCTATATGTGGGTTTTTATACTGTATAGCATATCTTCAGCATTCAATCGATCTTTTTACTCGAATTTGCATGAAATGGCCAGATTTTGTTGTTTTATGCCGGAAAAAGCATATTTTTCCCAAAAAAGAAAAAAAAAACTTGGCAATTTGCTTAACCCATTCGCCCTCAGGGAATTTTGCCGAGAAACGTGTTTGCAAGCTTGTCGAGCGGTTTCCAGGCTGGTCACTACCTAGCTATGAAGAACTAAAACTTACCACAAAGCCGTTTACAAGTCGGACGCGTCGCAACCTTCTAACCCAATGGCGGTTCGGGGGCGAATAGGTTAAGACAAAAAGAAATAAGGAAACAAAACAAAAAAAGAAATAACGAAGTGAAATCGCAATTTTTTTTTCACACAAGATCTATGTATCTCCATATTACTGGGCAACAATTTTGTTTGCACATACATGTACACGTCCCCTCTGCCTTTATGGTGTTTTTTTCTTAAAATTTTTTTTGGCTGTCCCTGGAACAAAAATATCAAATGGCTTAAATGTCTGCTCAGCATACATCAATGTGATACTCAATTTGGAATTTAGGGACCGGTCATAATTTGTCCCCCCCGGGGGAGGGGGACGAGGAGTTTGGGGGGAATCACACGGTTTTCAAAAGAACAAGGGGGAAGGGTCAGCCCTAATTGACAGGCACTAAGTGGGGACCAGGAAAAAAAAGGAGAAACTGAATTATCTGAGGCGGTGGGATCAATTTATAACTTTTTCGTTGATCTTGTTCAGACACGAACTATGATACAGGAGATATAGCGCCTGGAGAGAATTAATTGTTTTTAACCTTTCTCCCGGGAGGGACTGATCTTGGACAATTAATACTCCAAAGAACCGAAAATGTTTGGAAATAACAGGGGATAATTTGTTATTTCGTTGCTGAAATAGCTAAAATGAACTACGTGAACTGATGTTACTCACTACTTAAAAAATGGGTTATCGCTGACAGTCACAATTCTTTCCTCTTTTTCTGTCGATTGTCGATCGGTGCTCGACTGAGCCGAGGAACTTTACTATCTGAACGGCCTGTAACAAGCTAATTCGGTAATAATGAGGTGTCCTTATCACTGAAGCTGGTGTCCGTATAAAGCGGTTTTGACTTATTTGTTACCTTTTCAACATTTTCTCTTTAGCCAGTCAAAGCCATAGACACAGTTCATAACGCTGGGACTTTAATGCTCTTTCTTGGCGGAGGTGTATATTTCTGGTTTCAAACCCTCATCAGTTATCACGGTATTGCAGTTAAGCTCAATAGTAAAAGCATGTTCCTCTTCCGGTTAGCTGTGTCCTGTATTGTGACCATCACTGGCGTGGTATACCCGTTCCTCAAAGATTTTGCCTACACAAAGTATAGTGGTAGAGTGCAATTAAATTCAGTCACAGCGGCCCACTGGAGTCCAAATGAAGGTGGGTGGGCAGTACAGGTGGCCAGTAATGCTGGAGAATGGATTGATTGCCTGTCTTTGGTGATCTACGCTGCGTCGTTTTACAAAGAGTTTCAGACGTTTTCTTTTGACGTCTCGTATGTTGAAAACGCTGAACTGGAGAAAGGATGGAATGGAAAGTACTCAAAAATAAGACAAAGCAAAGAAGAAGAAGAAGAAGTTTCGGACGAATAAAATACCATCGACTTACATCAAATTAATTGCGCTCGGAGGCGTAACGAGTAATGGGATAAAAATAATTGGACTGGCCTGAGAAAAAGGCAAAAAACGGGGTGAAATCTAGCGGTGGTCGGGGGGGGGGTGGGGGGAAGGCGGCGGCTAGCACCGCTTGGCTTGCTTCGCTCGCCGAATCCCCAACTGAATTAAGTAACAATTTAGTAGTAATGTAATTTATATCATCATAGAAACGTTCATAGGTAGAGCTGGAGTAGGGGTATGGTGATAAAAGGAACATAAGCCACATCAGTTTACCACTTCCATATCGTCCCATTATACAGTTGGTTTTCCTCCAAACCTCGTTTGTATGAGTATTGCCAGTTCTCTTGGGTTTTACTAGTGTTCCAAAAGAAATTAGAAACACTGAATGCTTATGCAACTTTTTAGGGGGAACTAGTAGGTTATTCTTCAACAAATAAGATGTGACTTTCTCTCCTTATCTTCACTTTAATAGTTGCGAACTACACTATTTCATGCTAGCTACAAATCACTCTCTCAATTACGTTCTACCAACTACCAGAAAACGCCGACTTGCTTAATTCAAATCAATGCTCATATAAGTCTACTGTGAGTGGCTAGAAGAGACTCATGAGCATTGAACCTTCGAAGTATTGACTTTCTTAAACTGAAATTTCACCTTTAGGCTCGAATTGTCCAGTCAATAAAAAACAAGGAGAGCAACTGATAAAAGTTACAGAGAATAGGCTTCCAAATAGAATTCTTACAACAATAGTGAGGAAAGTACTAAAATTACAGTTTCAAATCAGAGAGAAATGAAAATTCACCTTTACTAAAACTTGTGAGTTAGGAGATATTCTATACCAAGTAAAAACAATCAACCGCATAAATACGATTGAAAAGACCGGGAAACAACCACGGCTAAAAAATAACAAAAATGTTAGGATAGGAGTAATTTCCTGGAAATCCAGAAAAAGGGTCAAGTTAAGATTGAAATATCAAACCAGGCAATATTCCTAAATGTAAAAAAAGCTTTTAATTAGTAGAAACCTTAGTGGATCATATTTTAAGATAATTACTGGGAGGGGTTGCCGTCGAATCAAAATAATAATTAACATTTATTACATTTAGCACTTTATTACATTTAGGGCCGTTTATTAGATTTAGGCCTTCTACAAAAGTTCACTGGTTCTTACACCGTAGTAACCCCCAAATCTTTGATCATGTTTGATAGCAAACAAAAGCTCATTCTCTCTCTTCGCAAATGTTGGTAATAAAGCCCTCAGACGTAATAAAAATTGACCACAAATGGAAAAAAATCTATTTTTCAGCATGCTCCATCAGAGGAGGCGGATCCAGAGGGAAGGTTGAGTTAATTTTCCCTCGTCGGAAATTAAAATCAAACCCCCATAGGAGGCCAATGTTGGTGTGGCTCGAGCCTAAACTATCCCCTACGGGAGGCCATACTAAAACACCATTGTCATAAATCTCTAGTTTTCCGTACTACTTAAACTCCTTGACACCTTTCTCTGTGGTTAGTGTCACGGCTTTTTTGGTAAAGTTCTTTATGCACAACCCTAAGCGATACATGTAATATAGTGACTTTCCATCCTAAACACCCTAACTTTGACCAAAATCTGCAATTTACACTCCTAAGCGAGACCACGAGCATCCCCGTCACTTCTATATGGGAGTCACTCTCCTTCCCCCCCGTTCCGTCAATGGGGGGGTACACGACCTTATACTCAGGCCACATAGCAATCAAAGGCATACGGGACCAAGGAGAAGACCACCCGGGGTGGGGACTCCCATATGAAAGGGGCGGGGATACTCGTCCGAAATTTGAATTAGACCCTAAAGGAGACCAATCTGGGCGTGGCCCAACCTTTTTTGACCGCTAAAAGCGATCATTTTAAATTTTGATTACATGAATCGAGTAAATAAAACGAACTGAAGATATATAATTTTTTTAACATGTCTTCGAGTGCAACCCTAAAAGAGACCTTTACGGCCAAATGTAATGGTGTTTTGCCCAGAAGACCCTAAGTGAGACCAAAATCTGAAATTTACACCCCTAAGCGAGACAACGAGCATCCGCGCCCCTTTCATATGGGAGTCACCCCCCCCCCCCCGGGGACGCCATTTAAAAAAAGTTTATTTATACACAATCAAGCGAAACCACCATTACACTCTCAATACATGAAACATCATGAAACGGAAAGGAAACCTTATTGAACCACTGCACCTTGTTTTCCAACCAGGGGTTGAGCTTGAAATTGGAAACCACCCACCAAAAAACGCCTTACGGCCACAAGTGTGTTGGTTGGCCCCAAAAGACCGCAAGGGTACCAAAAAAATAAACATTCCCCCCCGACACGGCAAACGCCGACCCCCCGCCCCTTTATGTTGGGGGCCCCCCCCCCCCCCCCCCGGGGATGCCAGTTAACACAAGTTTATTTATATACATACAAGCGACACCACCAGTACACTCTCAATACATGAAACATCATGAAACGGCAAGGAAACCTTATTGAGACACTGCACCTTCTTGTACAACCGAGGGTTGAGCTTGAAGCTCTCTTAATTTCGAGTTGGAGATGACGACAGGAAAGCGTTAGCAGTCTAAGGAAAGCTACAACATGCACACGGTAACCACACAATCTCTGTGCGTAACCGATTGACGTGTTATTTTATAGTAAATGTACTGGATTTACCGTTTGCCTCACCTATAGAGAAATATCGGTACGTATGTATAGAAATCAATGTTAAGTAAACGCTGAATTACCTTACCTGTGGTACTTGTCGTCCTTTTGCCTCAAAAGCGGTTTCTTGAGCGATTTTGAAGGATTTTGAGTTCGCGGTTTACTGTTCTCGTTGTTTCTCAGCCTTAAGTTATGAAAAGCGATTGACGTGCTTCAGTCAATGAATCCAAAAAGACGATAAAGAATTTTTCAGATTACTTAATTCAGTCATTTCGTCATGATACAGTGAAAACGCTTAGGCTTACGGTTACCTCAACTTTGGGGACATTGTGCGTACCTGTGAAAAAATCCTGTCTAAGCCGCTGAAATGTGTTCACCAAAGACAACGGCTTGATAGCCGTATTGAGAAGGCAAAGTAAACGCTTAACTATGTACTTTTGTTGCTGCATAATGCATTTCAATAACTTGAATATTTCTGCCCAACATTTGTTATTTTTGCTGCCTTTGTTTGGCTTTTTCAATCAACACGTTGATTATTTAGCAATCCTACTGAAAAATTCTCCGGGGACGTTTAATGAAGCTGTTCAAAGCTGTTCAGAATACTCATTGACAACTTAATTTTTTAAAAAAAGGGCATGCCATTACAATTTTTTTATTGGCAATTTAATGCCCCTCTCCAGTTAATGGAAAGCAGCGAGGGATGCATCAGGGCGAACTGTGGCGGATCTAGGAGGGGAGGAGGGGTTAGGGGGGTTTCGATCGAACCCCATAATTTAAAACAGCCAACGCCAAAAACTTGTAAAAATATAAAATAAGTACAGTCAATCTAAAATGTAATGTATTTGTAACCAAGTTAAGCCTCTGCTGCTCAATAAAGCTAAAACGTTTTCTCCATAAAAAACAAATGCATTTTTCGTTCACTGGCATTTTCCCTGACATTAACCGCTTGCTGCGAATAGCTTAACGAGCGAGAAAAGAGGTACAGCTTTGAAGCTTGTCAAAGGATATTTACGCACCACCATGACAACGGAAAGACTGTAAGGCTTGGCTACGAGGAACATTCATTACGAAAGCCCATTGACTACGATGCTGTGGTTCAGCTTTTTGCGGAAAGATACCGAAGAATGCTTCTTATTGATCCCGTCTTTAACGAAACATAAAATTGAAAATAGACAACATTAATGCAGTATATTTTTATCATATTTTTCTAAATGCAAATTTGCATCGTTGTTACGCAGCTATAATAGTTATATTTTGATGCAAAAAGAATGGCATTGTCACTTTAAAAAAATGAAATATTAAAACACGATCACTTTGCCTCAAAATGGCGGAAACCGCGTTTCCGAGGACTTGAAATTTCAAAATTTTCCGGGGAAGGATGCTCCCAGATCCCAGATCCCAGATCTACAAGGCGGCGGCCCCCTTTCATCAAACCTTATGCTAAAACCTAGAACCCCCTCAGTGCGAGTTCTTTCTGTTCTTTCACCATACTGTGCCGGCAGTCATGATAACTTTTACTAGAGCAGTTCACCTCTTACCGATCTTTTTTCCTATCTTGATCGTCGTCACAATTCTTACCCCCTATATCATAGCGGTATCGCTGGATCATGTCTACCCGTTTTTGCCGTGCATAAGTAAAACGGCAGGATTTGAACCAGAGGGATCAATTTTTGGTTTTCTGATGTTTTTAGTGGCGTTGATCGGACTGTTGACGATCTTTACTCGATATCTTCAACTCAAGGGATTTAGTCAACAAGGTTTTGAGGCGAATGTTTTACACAAGGTGAAATGGTTCAACACAATTTCTCTGCTATCTGGTGTTTCATGTATCCTTGGCGTTGTTTTGGTGGCAAATTTTCGTTCTTCTGTACCACAAGTGAGTTCCACGGCTTTCAGATAATTTAATGTCTTGCTGATGTATGTACTGCCCGTTATTCGCGTCTTGAACTCGTTAATTTGCAGGATACTGAAGAAAAAAATTCACGGGCATATACCAATATGGATAGTTTCAGTCTTGTTGTCAGAGCGTTTATAGGATATTTGATATAGAGTAAAAACCCACGTGTAAGAACCTAGATTTTTCCAACTTAGCCAAAAAAGGTTGTTATAGAAATGGTCAGTTAGTGGGATTTAGGCTACTTAGGTTCTTAAATAGGTCTTTAATTTGATAGGGGCACCAGCGGTCAGCACAGATAACTACTACAGGGCATGTGTGATATGGAATATGTTGCTGTATTAAATAATTATCTAGAATACAGTTTAATAGGTGATAACCGTGCAGTAATTTTATCTTTGCAAAGTACTAGCATGCATGTCTTTCATTCTGCAGTATCCATAAAATGCTGTGTTACATTTTGAATCTTACTAACTCAGAAACCTATCATGAATTGAATTTTTTTTCCGGCTGTATTTTCTTCTCTGCCTTCATTTTTGTAAAATAAGAACCTGTCAGGAAAATGTTAGGCTAAATAGGTTCTTATGAAAAGGGGCTTTAAAATGAACATTTTAGCCTCACGGGCTCTTAAATTTTAGGTTCTTACATGTGGATTTTTTAATGTATAGCATATCTTCAGCATTCAATCGATCTTTTTACTCGAATTTGCATGAAATGACCAGATTTTGTTGTTCCACACACGAAATTATATCCTTTTCAAAATCTCAGCCTGGAGTTTATTCTTAAAGTATTCTTAAGATTTCGCAAATTTCAGCCTCGATATTTTTATAAAATATATTCTTATAGAAAAAAAAGGGTGTATGCCGTAAAAAGTACATTTTTCCCAAAAAAAGAAAAAAACTTGGCAATTTGCTTAACCCATTCGCCCTCAGGGAATTTTGCCGAGAAACGTCTTTGGAAGCTTGTCGAGCGGTTTCCAGGCTGGTCACGACCTAGCTATGAAGAACTATTAAAACTTACAACAAAGCCGTTTACAAGTCGGACACGTCGCAGCCTTCTGACCCAATGGTGGTTCGGGGGCGAATAGGTTAAGACAAAAAAAGAAACATGGAGAAATATAAACTGAAGTAAACGTTATACATCCTCTCTTGTTCACCGTCGAAGTGAAATGGCAAGTTTTTTTCTGCACAAGATCTAAATATCTCCATATTACTGGGCAACAATTTTGTTTACACATACATGTACACGTCCCCTCTGGCTTAGTGTTTTTTCCTGCTCACTTTTTTAGCTGTCCCTGGAACAAAAATATCAAATGGTTTAAATGTCTGCTCAGCATAAATTTTTGTGATGCTCAATTTGGAATTTAGGGACCGGTCATAATTTGTCGCGCCCCCCGGGGGGGGGGGAAGGGGGGACAAGGAGTTTGGGGGAATCATACGGTTTTCAAAAGCGCTAATTGACAGGCACAGAGTGGGGACCAGGAAAAAAAGGAGAAACTGAATTATCTGAGGCGGTGGGATCAATTTATAACTTTTTTGTTGATCTTGTTCAGACACGAACTATGATACGGGAGATATAGCGCCTGGAGAGAATTAATTGTTTTTAACCTTTCTCCCTGGAGGGACTGATCTTGGACAATACTCCAAAGAACCGAAAATGTTTGGAAGTAACAGAGGAGAATTTGTTATTTCGTTGCTGAAATAGCTAAAATGAACTAAGTGAACTGATGTTACTCACTACTTCAAAAATGGGTTATCGTTGACAGTCACAATTCTTTCCTCTTTTTCTGTCGATTGTCGATCGGTGCTCGACTGAGCCGAGGAACTTTAGTATCTGAACGGCCTGTAACAAGCTAATTCGGTAATAATGAGGTGTCCGCATTACTGAAGCTGGTGTCCGTATTAAGCGGGGTTTGACTTATTTGTTGCCTTTTTAACATTTTCTCTTTAGCCAGTCAAAGCTATAGACAGAGTTCATAACGCCGGGACTTTAATGCTCTTTCTTGGCGGAGGTGTATATTTCTGGTTTCAAACCCTCATCAGTTATCACGGTATTGCAGTTAAGCTCAATAGCAAAAGCATGTTCCTCTTCCGGTTAGCTGTATCCTGTATTGTGACCATCACTGGCGTGGTATACCCGTTCCTCAAAGATTTTGCCTACACAAAGTATAGTGGTAGAGTGCAATTAAATTCAGTCACAGCGGCAGCCCACTGGAGTCCAAATGAAGGTGGGTGGGCAGTACAGGTGGCCAGTAATGCTGGAGAATGGATTGATTGCCTGTCTTTGGCGATCTACGCTGCGTCATTTTACAAAGAGTTTCAGACGTTCTCTCTTGACGTCTCGTATGTTGAAAACGCTGAATTGGAGAAAGGATGGAACGGAAAGTACTCAAAAATAAGACAAAGCAAAGAAGAGGAGGTTTCGGACGAATAAAATACCATCGACTTACACCAAATGAACAGCGCTCGGAGGCGTAACGAGTAATGGGATAGAAATTATTGGACTAGCCTGAAAAAAAGGGGAAAAATCGGGGTGAAATGAAGCGCTGGTCTGGGGAGGGGGAAAAGGCGGCGGCCACAGCTTGGCTTGCTTCTCTCGCCGAATCCCCAACTGAATTAAGTAACAATTTAGTAGTAATGTAATTTATATCATCATAGAAACGTTCATAGGTAGAGCTGGAGTAGGGGTATGGTGATAAAAGGAACATAAGCCTCATCAGTTTACCACTTCCACATCGTCCCATTATACAGTTGGTTTTCCCCCAAACCTCGTTTGCATGTCTTGAGTATTGTTTTCTCTTGGGTTTTACCATTGTTCCAAAAGAAATTAAAAACACTGAATAGTTATGCAACTTTTTAGGGGGAACTAGCAGGTTATTATTCAACAAATAAGATGGAACTTTCTCTCCTTATGTTCCTTTAATAGTTACTAACTACTTCATGCTAGCTACAAATCACCCTCTCAATTACGTTCTGTCAACTCCTTAATTCTTATATTGACCAGAAAACCCCGACTTGCTTAATTCAAATCAATGGTTATTTAAGTCTACTGTGAGTGGCTAGAAGAGACTCATTAGCATTGAACCATCGAGGTACTGACTTTGTCAAAACGATTTTCTTTCTTAAATTGAAATTTCACCCTTAGGCTCGGATTGTCCAGTCAATAAAAACAAGGAGAGCAACATAAAAGTTACAGAGAATTAGGCATCTAAATAGAATTCTTACTGAATAACAGTGAGAAAAGTACTAAAATTACAGTTTCAAATCAGAGAAAAATGACAACATTTATAGATATTAACCTTTTAAAATTTCCCTTTACTAAAACGTGTGAGTTAGGAGATATTCTATACAATTATTATTTACATATTTTTAATTGCAAGTAAAAACAATCAACCGCATAAATTCGATTGAAAAGACCGGTAAACAACCACGGCTAAAAAATAACAAAAATATTAGGATAGGAGTAATTTCCTGGAAATCCAGACAAAGGGTCAAGTTAAGAGTGAAATATCAATGCAGACAATATTCCTAAATGTAAAAAAAGCTTTTAATCAGTAGAAACCTTAGTGGATCATATTTTAAGATAATTACTGGGAGGGGTTACCGTCGAATTAAAATTAGGGAGCTTAAGCAGCGACGACGACGATTGCAACGAGAACGGCAAAAAGGCAATAGGTGTTTGGATTAGCAAAACAACAACTCTGCACATGCATCACGCTTTTTCGTATATTTCTTTGCCGTCACTACACGACTACGACGTGAAAATACCTAATTTCACATTTTGAAGAGTACGTGAACAGAGGACAACGCTCTCCTTTTTCTTTTCCTGTACTTTGACACAGTCCTTTAGTATTCAGCTCCAAAAAAATTTGCCAACATTGGACGAATTGAACGAAATGGAATTAGCATGATTAACTTTGAGGCAGCGCGAATTCACTTTTAAGTGACGTTTTTGCAGCCGTCGCCGTCGTTGATACTTAAGCACCCTATTAACTAGGCTCGATTACCAGCCGCTGTTCGGGAAAATGAGCCCACACTCACGGCGGAAATCGAGCCTACCTATTAACATATCTGTTTTACAAACGATTCATGACAGGAGAGGGTTTGTATTGATCAGTATTTTAAAAGTCGAGAGTTGCAATGTGAATCTAACGAAACAACTAATAAGTGAATCTTTATCGGCACAAAATATCAGTTAGCTTATCAAACAGGAACCATTTAAGAGCATAAACATCAACGAGAACTGAATATGTCAAATTAAAAGTAAATGTAAACTAGTATTTATGTTAATGTATTTTCTGCATTATTTAACAAAATATCTTGTACTTACTGTATTTCAGAGGACATTGATGTAAAGTATCGTGCATAAAACAAAAAGGTTTTTAAATGGAATATTAAACTGATTATTAGGGAGCCTGTAATGTCACTTTGGAGTTAAGAAACACCAACTTGCGGGAAACAGTTTTCTAATTTCCCCCCTTATCAAACCCACTGCTATAATAGTGAGACAGTGAAATCAACCGACAATACTGAATAACGACAATGGTCCTCGCAGGGATTTCGCTGAGGAGGCATCCAAGTAGCTCGCGCGTATATATAGGAAAGTACGCCGTTGAAATATGCAGTCAGTATACCAGAAAAACACTCGATTTGTTAATGACAGGGAACGCAATTGGGGCTGCATGCAATCGTTTGGTGATGATGACGTTTCAATTGTGCACGTCCACAAGTAACAAAAGGTTAGGATAACGCAAAACAGAACAGGCCCGCAGGGACCGCTTAGGTTGATTTTGTGACACTTGTTGTACAGTCATACTTCGATACTCCTTTACGTTATGTCTCATGTTCAGTGACATTCTTTGGAGCAGCTGTTGTGAAAGCCGATAAAGGTGAACGGGCTTATAACTGTGTGTGAGCACTTAGAGGGTTTGCCAGACAGGAGTTTATCATTCGACAAATCTTGGCTCATCCTGTAACAACCTGTAAATTAAACTCACGAGTCAGGGGTACCCAACGAGAATATAGTTCAAAACCACTTAAACATAGAATTGTTAAACGTATTTTAGTATTTAAACGGTAGATATAGGCATATTTTTATCCCCTAAAAATTTTTCATCTGTTCGGATTTCCTAGCTGAAAGTCAAGTGATCCGAAAATTATAGGGATCAAAACTTACCTTTTCGAAAATTTTGGCCAGAAAAAAGGCTCCCGAAAATTCTAGGTGACCTTTTTAGGGTAAAAATCCGTTAAAAATAGGCAATTATACCATTTTTTAGATGTCCGAAAATCCTAGCAGAGGCAGGCAAGCAAGAAATTTTACAACAAATGTTCCGAAAATTCTAGATCTCAAATCGTCTTCCGAACAGATATTTTCCCGAAAATTGTCGTTGGGTGCCCCTGACGAGTGACGTAGAAAAAAGGAAACAAAAAAGTCAACACAATAGAACCCTCAATACATGAAACATCATGAAACGGCAAGGAAACCTTGTTGAGACACTGCACCTTCTTGTACAACCGAGGGTTGAGCTTGAAGTCTCTTAATTTCGAGTTGGAGATGACGACAGGAAAGCATTAGCAGGTCTAAGGAAAGCTACAACATGCACAGGGCGCATCAATCTTAAATGCAATGTATTCATAACGTAACCAAGTTAAGCCTCTGCTGCTCAATAAAGCTAAAACCCTTTCTCCATAAAAAACAAATATATTTTTGGTTCACTGACATTTTCCCGAACATTAACTGTTTGCTTTGAATTACTTGCACTATACGAGTCACTTAAGCTGACATGAGTAAGAAAAAAGTACAGCTTTGAAGCTTGTCAAAGGATATTTACGCAGAACCATGACAACGGAAAGACTGTCAGGCTTAGCCGGCTATATGATGAACATTCATTACGAAAAGCCCATTGACTACGATGCTAGTGGTTCAGATTTTTGCGGAAAAATACCGAAGAATGCTTCTTATTGATCGGCGTCTTTGACGAAACACAAAATTGAAAATAGATAAAAATAATGCAGTATATTTTTATCAAAGTTTTCTAAATGCAAATTTGCATCGTTGTTACGCAGCTGTAATAGTTATATTTTGATGCAAAGGGAATGGCATTTTCACTTTAATAAAATGAGATATTAAAACACGCTGTCGTTGCCTCAAAATGGCGGAAATCGCGTTTCCGAGGACTTGAAATTTCAAAATTTTCCGGGGAAGGATGCTCCCAGATCCCAGATCCCAGATCTACAAGGCGGCGGCCCCCTTTCATCAAACCTTATGCTAAAACCTAGACCCCCCTCAGTGCGAGTTCTTTCTGTTCTTTCACCATACTGTGCCGGCAGTCATGATAACTTTTACTAGAGCAGTTCACCTCTTACCGATCTTTTTTCCTATCTTGATCGTCGTCACAATTTTTACCCCATATATCATAGCGGTATCGTTGGATCATGTCTACCCGTTTTTGCCGTGCATAAGTAAAACGGCAGATGAGAGGGATCAATTTTTGGTTTTCTGATGTTTTTAGTGGCGTTGATCGGACTGCTGGCGATCTTTACTCGATATCTTCAACTCAAGGGATTCAGTCAACAAGGTTTTGAGGCGAATGTTTTACACAAGGTGAAATGGTTCAACACAATTTCTCTGCTATCTGGTGTTTCATGTATCCTTGGCGTTGTTTTGGTGGCGAATTTTCGTTCTTCTGTACCACAGGTGAGTTCCACGGCTTTCACATAATCTAATGTCTTGCTGGTGTATGTACTGTCCGTTGTTCGGGTCTTGAACTCGTTAATTTGCAGCATACTGAAGAATAATTGACATAGCAGAAAAATTTCACGGACATATACCAATATATGGATAGTTTCAGTCTTGTTGTCAGAGCGTTGATAGGATATTTAATATACAGTAGAACCCACGTATAAGAACCTAGATTTTTCCAACTTAGCCAAAATAGTTTGTTATAGAAATGGTATTTAGTGGGATTTTAGGCTATTTAGATTTAGGTTCTTAAATAGGTTCTTAATTTGATAGGGGCACCAGCGATCAGCACAGATNTTTTAGTATTTAAACGGTAGATATAGGCATATTTTTATCCCCTAAAAATTTTTCATCTGTTCGGATTTCCTAGCTGAAAGTCAAGTGATCCGAAAATTATAGGGATCAAAACTTACCTTTTCGAAAATTTTGGCCAGAAAAAAGGCTCCCGAAAATTCTAGGTGACCTTTTTAGGGTAAAAATCCGTTAAAAATAGGCAATTATACCATTTTTTAGATGTCCGAAAATCCTAGCAGAGGCAGGCAAGCAAGAAATTTTACAACAAATGTTCCGAAAATTCTAGATCTCAAATCGTCTTCCGAACAGATATTTTCCCGAAAATTGTCGTTGGGTGCCCCTGACGAGTGACGTAGAAAAAAGGAAACAAAAAAGTCAACACAATAGAACCCTCAATA